TGCATCAAGAGAGGAGAATGACACAGCGTGAATACAAGCTGTCAACCGATATGTGGGTTTTTCCCATCACAGATCAGCTTCTTACTCGCTTCACCCCATCCAAACTGTGACTAGGGCTCCCCCAAGCATATTTTAAACATCATCTCAACTTCTTTTGGCCTCCTGGGTTGCCTTCCTCTCTTTGCTTTTGAAGTCTTGTGGTTCATCTTGATATGTTCCGAGATGGACATAGTTTTACTTATCCTATTTGGCATTCTGGGAGCACTTTTGATCTGATCACTTGTGTCTTTAATTGTGGAAAGTCACAAGCAATGATCTCTTCCATTTTTCCTTCTCCATACTCCCTTTTATCCCCTCTTTCTGAAATCCCATTAAACATTTCACAGTGCTGATTCACATCTCAATAGCTTTCAAAATGCTTCTGTCTTTATCTCCTTGCATTGCAGTCTCTGTGAATTCCTCAATGCTAGTTTCCATTTCACTAATTGTCCCTTCAACTATGTCTAATCTAGAGTGTATCCTAGTTTATATCTAATCTATATATAGATTTCATTTCCAGTGTGCTCAGTATTTATTCAGTTGTTCTTGTTTAATTTCTGCATTTTCTACACCTTCTTGTTCTCTGTTTCAAACTCTTTTCAGATTGTTCTACAATTTGCATCTCTTCTGGAGTGAACTCCCATCCCAATTTTAGTTAAATATCTTTACATATATTTTGAATTTTGAGTGTCTACGTAATCTCATATTGAATGGGAACTTTAAAAAGTCTCTCTCTCTTTATACTGCATCCTCCTGGGTTTTTTCAGGGCCCACAGTCAGAATCAGGCCTTATTCTGATGGCTCTGGGCTCCTGTCCAGTGGTGACACTGCCACAGCTCCAGTCTCTGGCCTGCCTTCCTGACACTGTAGGGGAGCAGCCCTGTGTGAGCCATGACTATGGAGAAGAGCACAGCTTTCTCCAGACTTTCACCAAGAGAAATCCTGACCCAAGACACAGCCTCAAGAACAGATCCCAACAAGATGGCCCCAGATTTCAGCCCTGGTTCCACCCCTACGTCCAGGATGACACTCACCTTGCTTTTGAATGCATCTATCTTCTCCCCTTCCTCCGTCTCCTTCTTTTACCTTCAACCATACCATTACTACGTATTAAAACATGGTATCAGGGGCTTCCCTGGTGGGGCAGTGGTTGAGAGTCCGCCTGCCGATGCAGGGGATGCGGGTTCGTGCCCCGGTCTGGGAAGATCCCACATGCCGCGGAGCGGCTGGGCCCGTGAGCCATGGCCGCTGAGCCTGCGCGTCCGGAGCCTGTGCTCCGCAACGGGAGAGGCCACAACAGTGAGAGGCCTGCATACCGCGAAAAAAAAAAAAAAAAAACATGGTATCAGCACCATCTTGATTAGAAGTCAAGTGCCTCATTCTAAGCAACCTCTCTCCTAATTCTTACCTTATCTACAAACCAGCCACTTTGTAAAGCCTTTCCTGAGCACTCTTACCTGAAATGAGCAATCTCTACCTCCTCTGATCTGCTCTATGCTGCATTTAGCTTTTACAAAACAAGGGTTTCTTGAAGACCAAGTGTGTGCCATGGTCTATTAGGCACCACAATGTAAACATGAACAATACAAGGTCACTTCCTCAAGACACCAAGGGTCTGGTCATCAAGCTGGATGAGCAAACAAACCATTGCTGTGCAAAATAAGTGTTTCAGTCCAGGGATGCCCAAGGTCCAGGTGACACTGAGAAGCATATGGTCTGTACAGCCTGGGAGCACAGGGAGGGGGCAAGGGGCTGAGCCCATGAGGAGGAGATGCTTGAACTGGGTCTTCAGGAAGAGGAGTTTACTAAGCAGAGAGCAGAGCTGAGAACAAGCCAGGCTAAAAGAACAGCATGGAGGCAATGGCACTGAGGTGGAAAGGAGCAGGGCTCCTTAGAGAAACAGAGAGGCACCAAGCCTAGGAGGTGTGGAGGAAGCAAGTGGGCGGGGACGAAGACGGACTGCAGAGCCGAGTGTGCAGGGCCTCAGACAACATCCGGGATCCCCCAGTGTTCTCCTAGGGACCATGGGAAGCCCTTGCAGGATGGAGCACAGGGTTGGCAGGACAAGATCTTCACTGAAAGGGGCCAGAAGCACTGGAAGAGACCAGAGCAGAAGTGGGGTGGCCAGTTAGGAGACCACTGCAAAAGTCCAGACAAGAGATGACAGTAGCCCCGTTGAACTTGGGAGTCTGGGGGATGGAAAAGTGGAAATGGCAGAAGTGAGGTAGAATTAAGAGGTATTTGTGATTGAGAGAAAGCAAGGCTCTGATCATTCTAGAGTTCAAAGGCCTTTCTAGGCCCAAACAAGCTAACTGTGTCAAAGGAGACGGTAACATCTCTTGGACCGGCAAGGGGAGACAGCAGGCAACTTCCAACACCGTGATTCCAGGTTGGCCCTGAGTCAGCGTTTTAGGAGCTGATTAATTTCCTACCACTGCCCTGCGCAGTTACGCGTTCTGAATAGTCTTTAATTAATGTAAAAAAGTATTTCCATGGCTTAAGAACATACACCTTGAGAAAAAACAAAGACCTGTTTAAATTCAGCATAGAAACGGGTTACTCTCTTACTCTCTCTCTCTCTCTCTCTCTCTCTCTCTCTCTGGATATCTAAAAATAAGGAGTTTATTTGACAGAGTGTTGCAGTTCCCCTTTCTTCATCCACCCCGTGTGAGTGCCACACAGTGTGGGATGTGGAAGCTTACCTGGCAGGCCCCACCCAGCCCTCTGCACACCTGGCCCTGCAGCAAACAAGCATCCCCAGAACTTGCACAATTGCATCTGTTCTCCTGTCTGTTGCAGGGCGGATGTCATTGTGGTTTCATTGAAAATCTACCAGTTCTGCGAAAAATATCATTGGGGTCGCAAAGCCTCCTTGGTGGGTTTGACATGTTGCCCTGACATCCCCCCATCCTCTGTCATGCTCTGCACAAAAGGGGCTGCCACACACATGGCTGACACTTTTCTTAACTGCAAGGCTGGAAGACCTCCAAACCAGCTGCAGTTCACTTCCAGGAGACTGGGATAGGACGATTCTATTTTCAAGTCTTGTACCCCAGAATCTGGCCATCATCGTACTCAGGGACCTGGTTCCCAAGATCCAAATATCTGCAGGTTGACTCTGGCTCCCCTCCAATGCTTCCTCCACCAGCAAGGTATGCCTTTGTGGCTGACCATCCTCCTCACCACCCTCCTGATTGCATCTTTTGGCCAGAAGGGCCATCTAACGTTCCTGCAGTGGGAACAGAGATGAAGCAAAATGGGAAACTATCTAAAAAGAGGATTGCCTTGTCAGTGGCCTATCTGGACTTGGCTGTTTCTTTGTCACCCTCATTGATGTAAGTTAAGGCACAGCACGGTGTCTACACAGCCAGGAACACACACACACATATATCGATATGCCAGGGGACCCACTGCTGTGTGCCACAGTCATATTTACAGTTACAAAGGGTTTTCCTTCCCCAACCTGCCTGTCTTCCATCTGAAAATGTTACATGTGCATGAGTGACTCCTCAATGATACAGATACATTGTATCTACTACAGCCTTACTAGTAATTGCAAAAACTGAGAAACTGCTTAAATGTCTGTTAATAGGAAAACGAAGTTAGGGAACACCCATATAAAATGCGCCTCTTTAGAAATATGGAGTAGATCTACAGGTGCTGACATGGAAAGCTTTCTTCTGCTGTTAGACAAGAAAGGCAAGTTGCAAAAAATATGTGCATAGTACAACCATGTGTCAAAAATGATGTATAAACAGCTGTTTATGCATAGATTATATCTGAGGAGCACACTTAACTGTTAACAGTGGTTTTCTCTGGAGAATGGATGATGGTGAGGAGAGCTGAGACAGGGAAACTTCCCCATACTCTTTTTTGTATTGTCTGACGTTTTTCAAGAATATATAACTTTTGTAATTTAAAAGACACTTTTAAAAACATGTCTAAATATAAATGGTCCACGTTAGAGTAAGCACCTTGGATGCTTTGGGCGGAGGGTGGGGGGAGAGGGTTGAAATCAAAGTAAAAAAAAAAAAAAAAATTAAAGACTGTTGTGACTGAAGTAGCATTACTCATAAATCTTCTGGGGGTTGTGTTTTTGTCTTTGTTTTAATTTTAAAAAAAAAAAAAAAAAAGCCCACCCAACACTTAAGTTCAGACCGCACGAGGGGAGTACAGTTCTGCAAACACAGCTCAGCCCAAGCTGTGATGTGACATGCGACCTCGTGGTGGTGGTGGGGGTGTTGTGGGAGTGGGCGGGGGTGCGTGTCTGGAACATAGTTCTCGCCACTGCCGCGGGGCAGAACTGTCTCCACCCAAGCATTCACCCAGGCTGCACACTTGTCCCCACCTAGCACCCATAGCCAGAGGTACAGAGGAGTGAGGTCCAAGTCCCCTAGTACGGGAGCTGGGCCCGGGGCGGAAACAGAACAGCATTCCAGGCATAGGGAACAGCAAAGGCTAGAGGAGCCCACAGTTCAGATAATCTCAAGCCCTGTGGGAATTCAGTGGAAGGTGGATGGGAAAGACCAGAGCAGAGGCTTGGGAGGAGCCAGCACCCAAAGGCTCGGAGCCAAGCCAGGGCTGAGCTGCCACGCAGTCCTGCAGGTCATGGAAGGTTGCGGGAGTGACACCATCAGATCGCCTTTCGGAGAATAATGCTCACAGCAGGGTGGCTGGGGGACTGGCCAGGAGAGGGGCTGATGTGGAGGCTGCTGAGTGGACGCCGGAAGGAATGAGGCTGTGTGACCAGGTTCAGGGGCTGGGGAAAGCCTGAAGGGTATGGTCAGCAGAGGTCACACAAGGCTTGAGTGGCTGCTGCCTCTTGGAGTTCCGGAGGAGTGGGCCAGTCACGAACTCCTCTTCAGCCCTCAGGGCCCATTTCACGGCCCCAAAGCCCCAAGGTGCCGGTGCTAGGGCCACTTTAAGTGAGGGCAAAGGAAGTGGACACTTCTCTCTCCTTCCTGCTCACTCACCCTCCCTTCTTGAAATCTCTCATCTCCATCCTCCGCCGCTGTCACACCCACAGGAGAGCCATTCCAAGGGCCACTTCCAAGCCCTTTTCCTTGCCCTCAAACCCATGGTTCTCAACCATTCCCAGCTTCCCGTCAAGGCTGCCTCGACGGCCCCCATTCACGGCCCCCAGCCCCCTCTCTGGGCTGGAAGGTGACAACCGCGAAAAGGAGGGCGACTCTCTCCTCCGCGGGGCTTCACGTGACATCACATCCTCCGAACGCGAAATCGGCTCCGCGGCTGGCCGAAGGGCGCAACTTCCCCGGTCGGCGTCCCACTGGCTCCGGCGTTCCTCCGCAGCTTCGAGCCGCTAGCGGAGCGGCGCCGCGGGGAGCGCGCCATGGCCTCGCCGGTGACCGCCCTGCTCCTGCCGCTGGCCCTGCTGCTGCGTGAGTTGGCGACCCGCGGGGAAGACGGGGCCGGGGCTGGCGGGGGGCGCGGGGCTCCCGGCTCAGCCTCACTGCCTGTGCCCCGCAGATGCCGCCACGGTCCTCGAGTCATTCTCGTTCCGGATGTCGCCGGTGCAGGTGCAGAGTCGCCTGGGCGAGAAGGTGAAGCTGCACTGCGAGGTGCTGCAGTCCAGCATGACGTCGAGCTGCTCCTGGCTCTACCAGAAGCCCGGGGCCGCCTCCAGACCCATCTTCCTAATGTACCTCTCCAGCACGCGGTCCAAGCCGGCCGAGGGGCTGGACACCAATTACATCTCCGGCACCAAGGCCGAGGGCGCCAACTTCCACCTCACTCTGCACCGCTTCCGCGAGGAGGACCAAGGCTACTATTTTTGCTCGGTCATGAGCAACTCGGTTATGTACTTCAGCAATTTCGTGCCTGTCTTCTTGCCAGGTCCGGGCTCCAGGGGCGTGGCACCCCTCGGTGTGGGGTTTGGGGCTCAGTCTGAGTCCATTTTTCACACGCTTCGAGCCTCTTAGCGCCCCTCGGGGCTACTTAGATACTGTTCCCATTTCACAGATGAGGAAACTGAGGCTAGGGCTAGAGCGCGACTGGATAGGAACTGAAGATGGCTTTTTAGGTCCGGTTGATCTGGGCTCGAGTTCCGGGCTTGTGTGATCCTGGGCAAGTTGTACTTAAATTCTCTGAGCCTCCCTTTGCCGGTCATTAAAATGCGGGTATCACCGCCAAGCCCACGAGGTTTCTGCTGGGGCCCTGGAGAGAGGCCGGGCGGAGGGGAGCGGGCCCTGCATTCACGTCCGAGGCGCCGGGTACGGTTCGCGGACCAGGAGGTCCCACCCCATCTCCCCTGCCCTGAGCGCAGAGCTCCGCGAGGGCGGCGGTCTACGGCTCCTCCAGCGGAAAATCGGGAGGAGGGGCCCACTTGGCCAAGGCGCGCGGAGCGGTGGGGAGGGCTCGCGTGCACAGCTCCAGCCCGGACCCTAACCACTCTCTGTTGCTCCCGCAGCGAAGCCCACCACGACGCCGGCGACGCCACCAGCCACGCGGGCGCCCCCCAAGGCGTTGCAGACTGTGTCTCCGCGCCCAGAGGTGTGCCGGCCCTCGGCGGGCAGCGCAGGTGAGGCGGGCGCGGGGAGAGCCCTCGCCAGGGGCAGCCCTGATCCTGCAGGTGGAGCCGAGGGCAGCCCGAGTGGTGGGGAAACCGAGAGACGGAGCCGGGAGAAGGAAGTGCCCCGGCTGGCTGGGTGGGGTGAGGGATCCCGGGCCCGCTCCTAAATGTCGGCGTCTTCTGTGTCGTCAGTAGACACAAGGGGCCTGGATTTCTCCTGCGATATCTACATCTGGGCGCCCCTGGCCGGGACCTGCGCCATCCTTCTCCTGTTATTGGTCATCACGGTCATCTGCCACCGTCGTAAGTCCTAGGGAATCGCGGCGGGGAGAGAGCCCGACTCCCGCCCTTTGCGCGGCTTCGCTCTAGGCAGCCCTTGCCGGGAGTCGGGGTTGCAATTCCTGGGACTCCGAGCTGCTCCGCAGGGCCAGGCGCAGCCTTTGTCTTTCCTGGAGAGAGAACGCGGGAAGACCCCTTCGCGCTGCTCTTCCCACTCTCCGGGAGGTTTTTAGGAAGACAGTGCCCCGGAGCGGCAGCAGCAGGGGTGGGATGTTCCATGGAGAAAGCCTGTAGCAAGCGCACAGGTCTGGGCTTATTACAAACGCCTGGGACAGGGGGCAGTGGGG